CAATGGGGAGTGTGTGTGTGTGTGTGTGTGTGTGTATAGTAGTGGGAACTTACATATACATACATGTACACATATATATAAATGTAATTCAGAATCTTATGTACTCAATCAAATATGTTTTCTTGGATTAAACAGCACCTTCTCCTTCACAGTCCAGTATAAAAGGCTCAGTAATAGTCTCTGCAATGATAGCATCCAACAATAATCAGCCCCTGGGTTAATCATTCATCTCTTCTCAAAACAGCTCACACTTTTATATCACCCAACACCCTTTCTAAAAAGGCATTTCTCTCACTTTTTCTTTTCCAGGGCTATAGGAAAATGTTTGCCTCAAGTTCCTGCCAGTTTCCCTTTGAAATGGAGAGACACTGTTTAACAAATGGTCGGTTCATGTAAGAGGAAATCTCCGTGGTTTAACATGCTTTTGTTTCTTGTCAGTTTATACCTACCTTTTCTGTTCATGCATAATTGTAACCCACATGGAAAGTCAATGAAACCACGGTTTGGGGAAATGGATTTTCAAGTAACTATTTCCATGCTGATTGTCCAGTTTGGGGCCTAAACAGCTTCCTTGAGACAGGAGACTCTAATTGGTGCCTGGAGGTGCTGTCTGCAGAAAACTGGATATAAAAGCAACGCCACAAAGCCCCTGTAAAATCAGTAAAAAGAACTTTATTATCACTTGGATAAGGTTTTCCATTCACAGAGAATGTTTTAGAGCACTGAAGTACTTTGTATATACCCAAATTGCTGTCTGTACCTAATGAGTATATAACAATATGTCTCTATGACTCCACTGGACTGAGAGATTTGACAGGGTGGGGTCTGAATCTACACATTGTAGATTTTCTATAAATGTTTGTTTGAGAATGAATGATCCACTTACTTTAAAGTGGTATTTACAAATCCAAAAAGTACATTTCAATGTCACAGATTCGCATGAATTCAGCCACTCATAAAAAGGGTGTCATAGAGTATTTTACATACACAAGAGAAATTAACAGCCCCCTCTCCGCAATGTGCTACTCGTGGATTTCCTTACTTTCCTCATCTTAGAAGTAAGGTTGTAGGTCTCTCTATCTGCCAGAAGAACTTACTCATAAAGTCAGTCATCATGTTTTGGGCATCTAGCTAAAGAATAGAAAAGTACAACCAACTCATTTCTTCGAGAATTCAGATCTAGTCAAGAGACAAACATATGGATAGCTAATGTTACTTCAATGGAGAATTAAATGAATACCAGATTTTGGCAGAAACCCATGAAAGCAGGCGAGGGCTAAGTGGTCACTGTGGCCATCTTTTTTGTGGGGAAGTTAGAATTTTGAACCAATGGATGTTGCAATGAGAATTGTAAAAGAAGGGGGACATCTCAGAAAACAATCATCAGGGTTTGGACAGTGATTAGGTTTGAGGATTGTAAAATGTGGGGAATTTAAAGATGGCTTCAAATTAAGTAACCAAGAGGAAATTATGAACTGTTTCTCAAGGATATAGAAAGTAAGTAGAATTTCCTGGGAGATTATTCCTGAGTGAATTTGATATTTGAGGTTTTTTTTAAAGATTTATTTATTTATGCATACAAGAACTGGGGTACAGGCCAGAAGTGTGGGGGTGAGAGTATTCACCAGAAACAGAGTGGGGTGCAGAGCAGGCAGACTGACAGAAACACACTGCTGAGGGGAGCAGCAGGCAACTCAGGAGAGGTCTGCTGCGCCATGTGGGTTTCTCCTAGCTGGGGATCAAACTTGTGCTGCAGTAGCTACAGATAGTTTCATAGATTGTGTCTTAACCCCTTGTGCCACCAGGGAGGCCCCTAGCTTCTTAGTTTTGAGGAATGTTCCAAGGTATGTGTAGGGTAAGTGAACAACTATCAGGCTTTTCTGTCTCCCACCATTAGGATTGATGATGGATCCTTGTGGTCCTGAATGCATGCCTGATGGCGGGCACCTGGAATAAGGTGTGGGCATATGTAGATGGGATTCACCTGGGCTAACGCCAAGGCCTTCCAGCCTCCCGGCCCCCTGGCACCCTTGCCTGCTGTATACCCAGTAAAACCCCAATAAAAGCCTGCAAAGGCCACCAAGGACTCTCTTCTCCTTCATCCATCTGCTCGACTCATAGAAAACCTGCTCTGTGCCCATTCCTGCCACTACAGTACTGCAAGACGATAACACCAGGGGAAACTAAGGTAAGGTGTAATTTGTCTGTGCTTTGAAGGCTGGCACTGCTTGATTTGATGGTAGGCTTAATAGTAACAACCAATTTCTAAAGTACTTTCGCTTCACTGACTCAGGATGTGACAATATCATGAGGCCACTAGAATAGGCATAGTTATGCACATTTTATAAATGAGACTAGAGTGGTTTGCAACTGAATTTAACCTCAGATTAAAATTTTTAGTGCCTTGGGTTTAAACCACAAACTTCTGCATATAAATCCTGTGTTATTTTTACTTTTCCTAAGTATTAGAAAAACATTTCAAGGGACATGGGCATATACAGTTGGGGAGTGGCACAAGAAACATGGAGATGGGGCCTCCCCAGGGGCGCAGTGCTTGAGCGCTGGGTTGCGAAGCTGCCCGCAACCTCTGTAGTGCCAGTTCAATCCCGGCCAACGGGCAAGGGTCCCACATGGCACGCAGACCTCTCCTGCCGCCCGCTGCTCCCCTCAGCAGTGTACTTCGGTCCCTCTGCCTGCTCTGCTCCCGGCTCTGGTTCTGGTGAATTCTCTCACCCTCCCGCACCTCTGACTGTACCCAGTGCTTGTATAAATAAATAAATAAATCTTTAAGGGAAAAAAAAAAAAAAGAAACATGGAGATGAAGACTGAAGAATTTGAGATGGCAGTGAAATTTCAACTGCAAGAAACACCCTACTGCAAACTGAAGTTCTAAGAAAAACCAATGAGCCAGGCCTCCCCGGTGGTACAAGGAGTTAAGACACAACACGAGTTCGATTCCCAGGCTGTCAGGAAGCAATTGCCTACATGACACAGCAGACCTCTCCTGACTCTCCCGCTGCTGCCCTCAGCAGTGTATTTCAGTAGATCCACCTGTTCTGTTCCCCACTCTATCTCTGGTGACTCCTCTCACCCCCCACACCTCTGGCCAAAATCCCAGCTCTTGTTGTATGCATAAATAAATAAATCTTTGAAAAAGAAAAAACAATGAGCCCAGATTCCTTTTTATGAAGCTTTCAGGTTTGTTTTTTGTTTCTCTGCTTCTCTAAGCTTGAGTATCAGTGAGCTTCTAAAAAATAGAGGAACCCAATTAACAGTTTTGTTTATTTGCAAAATTCTGACACCTGGGGGCCCTTCAACATTTACTATCTTTTTTTTTCCTCCTGATAGCCTCCATCACCATTTCTGAATCTGAATCTTCGGTTACGCAGAGAAGACATTTGTTAAAGTGATGCTGTCCATACACTTGATGTAATATTTTTCCATTCTTAATGCTCTCTGTCCTGGTGAGAATGATGGTGTCAATAGCCTTTAATGAGGAGCACTCCATGTGACACTATTTTCTTATAATTTTAAAACAGTAATAACATCAGAACTAATTCTATACACCGGCCACCTCTACCCGCTCCCTTTTTCAGTCTCCTTCATTTTCTGGGAACATAAATCAAAATAAAACCTGCACCAGCTTCTGTTTTGCCTTTAAATAAACATATATTCTTAAAGATGAAATAATTATATTATCTCAGCCCAAGGTTTCAAAGGTAGAACCTCTGTGGACACTTATGTACACTTCGACGCATGATAATGGATGTTCAAAAGCCGGCAGAGTAGAGGAGTATTTCTCCTAAAATGTGGTCCTCCCTGTTTCTGCGGCCTGAGAAGCTCTCCCTATGCTTTGCTGCCACCTTGGCAAACCAGAAGGATTTACAACGGAATTCTGCTCCCGGTTCCTACTGCCTCTGTGGGCTGCCGTGGTCAGGGAGGCATTTGAACAGGTTATTACTGATTCACAGAGGGGATGGAGCCGAGAGAAATTAGAACTACATGGTGGCGAAAGACCTTTTCACTTGCAAAGACCAGTTTCTGCAGGATGCACCTGTTACCCTCTGAAAGATTTTGAAACTCATTGCTTTAGCCTGGAATACAGACGGAGAGAGAAGGAATTTTATGGGGACGTCCGTTTGTGCTCTGTGCCACGTTCTGGCTCCCTGGGGTGTGTGTCAGCGACAGCGGACTCGCTCTGTGCGAGTTTCCCTTATCCAACCCTCCATTCCGCGACCACCACTTGCCTGGCTTCCAACTCCAGTTAACTTCTCAGGAGTCCAGAGCACTTAGTCGAAGCAGTTTACAAAATGCAAAGCATCTGGGTGGCCAAGGCGGAGGCAATTATATTCTCTTTTTTACCGCTTCCAGAGGAGCTGGGGAAATATTGGCAGCATAGAACCTAGGCGCGTAAAGCTGATCCGCTGCTCTCAGAGTTGGGATTCAGATATATTTTCTGCCTCGTCATTCTTTCATTCTTTTTTGGGGGGGTTTCTCCTGCTTATTCTATTCTGAAGCACGAAAGCATTCTCTTGCCTCCTCCTGCATGTCTCTACACCCCCCAACCCCACCCCCAACTTGCCACTGCTTCTCAGATCCTCCATACCCCACCCACCAGGTCTTCCGGCGTCAGTCTCTTTTCAACGTGTGGTCATTTGACTTTTGTGGGCGCTGGGCCCCGTGGGAGGGTTCCTTGCGGTGCCATTTGAATGTGGCGTGGGCGGGCGCCTCCGCCATTCGTCTCGCACGCGCAAAAACCTAGAGCTAGATGAGCCGAGAGTCCCGCATCTTCAAAGGAGCGCTAGGAAAGGAAATCATACCGGGGGCGGGGAGGGGGTAGAAATGAAAGAGTCAAACTCAACTTCACTGGCAACTTCAATAAATCCGGTAACTGGAGGCAGAAAATAGATTCCGAGCGCTGGGTCTGGTCCGGATGAAGCGCCAGGGCTCCTTCGCCTGCTGGAGCCGGGCGCTGGACGCCTGCCACGGGCTTCCTGCCACGCGAGGGACCCCAGACAGCAACACCCCCCACCCCCCAAACGCACTTGAACAGAGCTCTAGCCCGGGAGCGGCAGCCTGCGGTTTCCTAGTCGATCCCAGCTTCTCCAGGGAGAGCAGAGCGCACACAGGGTTAAGTGAGTTCCCTCCCCTTAGGAGGCACGGGGGAGGGGAAAAGCAGCACCACGTCTCAGGCTGGGTACCCTGGAGTTAGTTGTACGTTTGAAACCTGTCGCCGTCACTTGTGAGTTTGGCATATCCCACTGTCACAGCAGAAGAACCAGCGCCCGGCGACAGCACCAGAGGTTTCCACCTCCGCGCCCAGGCGCTGTGCGGCTCCCGTCCGGGGTGCGTCTCTGACCCTCGGTTTCGGGAGTCGAGGGTAGCGAGGGGCAGCTCGGCGCGCCGAGTCCACCCAGCTCCTGGACCGGGTTGGCAGTTCTCAACGATGGGCAGGAGAGACCTCGGCGGCGACCCCTAAGACAATACCATGCCCCGGGAGCCCTGCAGCTGCCGTGCCAGCTTCTTCCCTTTCCACCTCCCGGACCCCGTCGGATTCGGATGAGCACACTTGGTGGAGACGCGGCCTCCAGGTAAAGGGACTGAGGTGCCAGGTGGAGTTTCCCGTAACCGCAGGAGCTGCAGCTACTCCGGCACCACACGGTCTCTGGGGGATGGGGGTGTAGGCGGGTTTCAACCAGGCTGGGGGTCTAAGCTTTATCTTTTATCCCCAGAGAGCACAGGCTGCTTAGCAATCCCTGGACTTGATGAAGATCTATTTGTAGGTCGAATCCACCTCCTCTAGGGATTTTTGTAGCTGAACTCCGGGTGAAGATCAAATTTGCTACTCTGCTGGGTGTGTGGATCCTAAAATTGGGGTTTCTGGCACCTCCAACCTTGCTGGCATCCAGCCTCTCACTTCCCAGAATGAATCTGTTAACTTCTAGGAGTAGCATCCCCCCCAATCTCCCACCCCCACGCTCGCTCCTTCTGCTGTTAATGTCATTAGCGTTATTAGCAAACGGTGGCATCTAAAGTCACCAGCCCACCCCTTGGCCGCAATCGGGATTGGTTAGTGATTAAGATGAAGAGAGTGCCAGCTCGTTTTCCTTGCAGTTGGAGACAGGGTTGCTTTCCCTGTACCAAGAGTCCCTCCAGTCACGCTGGTCCTGGGTACTGCAGCCCACAAGCGAGCGCTTCTTCCCGGCGCGCCAGTGGGGGCGATGAAGGCGCGGGAGTCCTGGGGCTGCGCTGGGACTGCGTTCCCTGAGCCATGCGGGGGACGTGGGGAGAGGGCGGACAGCCGCCCCCACCCGGCGCCGCGGCACTAAGTGCAGGGATAAGACCACGGCACAGGGGGCAGGAGAGCCCCTCCAGCTGCCACCACGTCCCCGAGTGGGCTCGGAAGCGCCTAGAAAAAAAATCCCTCCGCTGCGCTGACCAGTCCGGGGCTCGCTCGCTCCCGCGGCTTTCAGCGCCAGCGCGGTCACTTCTCCTTTGCCATCAGCCCCAAGATCTAGGTTGCCAGTTGAGGTCGGGACACTAACCTGGGAAAGGAAGGCTGGGGAACAGGATGAGTTGGGGCGGGCTGGACCCTTCCTGGATGCTGGGGAAACTCCTGGAGCTCGTGGGGTTTGGCTGGAGGCAGCTGCTGGTGGATGCGGAGGCCACCACTGCTGTCACCCCTGGCGCTCTGCTCCTGGAGCCTCCCAGCAAGATGGCACTCACTGTCCGGGTGCGATTAATCCCCCAGCCCTGCCTCCTCGTCCTTTTTGCATTTATTAGTCACATGTTGAGTAAGGGGAGAAGAGCGGTGGTGTCTGTATAAGTGAAAGCATTTTCCTAAGGATCTTTGCATAGTGCAACAGGAACTGCGACCCACGCGTATGAACCCGGGTCCTGTGTGTGTGTGCGCGCGTGTGAACGTGTGTGCCAGCGTGCGTCTCGGCGTGCGTCTGGGTGGATCCGTACGTGGCTTGTGTTTGGGAGGCAAATTGGGCGTTTCTCCAAGTCTTCTTAACACGACTTAGGCGCTCAAATGCGTGAAGGCGGTAGACACAACAGGGGTGCAAGGAAATAAAAACAATTGAGGAAGAAGTGCCAAGTGATTCAGGCTTTGAACCGAGAAAGGCAAATGCAGTCGCGGCTGGGGCGCGTCCGGAAATCACCCAGAGCAGCGCCAGTCATGGGCACCGCCCCTGCCCAATGCTTCTGTCCCGAGAGCCCAGCGAATCCCTAGAGAGTTGGTCCTGAGCTACTTTTAAGCACGCGGTCTCCTGCAGGTCGCGGTCTCCTGCAGGCTCGACCCCACCGACGGCGCGCGCCTCAGCGTAGCCTAGCGCATGGCGCGAGCTCGTTCTCCCTCTTCTGTTCAGATCCAGCCTCTAAGACTTGTTAAAACATGACAGCAACTTACTGGAGGCTGGAGGAGCGGCAATGAAATAAGAGGCGAAAACCAGTACTTTTTAGTTTTTTTATTTGTTAAGAAAGAGACGCATCTGGCTTTCGTACACCACGCTTTATCCTTTGCAAACAGATGGCAAAGTGAAAACATTGCCGATATACACATGAGACTTCTTTAGCTGTCAAGCCTGATTCCTAAATCTCTGAAGCTGCATTTGGGTGTCTGCTGTAATCCGTGGGGAAAGTGAACAACGCTTTTCGCAGCGGCCAGGATGAAGGGAGAAAAGGCGGCGTTTAATATAATGCAACTTTCAACTTTGGGTTATTTCCCCAATTACGGTGAATTGAAAGCTCGGCAGCGATGGGGGAAGCGGTGCTGGGCGGTGGGGAGGGGGTTAGTCACCCAGGCTGCCAGCACTTGCCATAACGCCATCTTGGTTGAGAGACGTTATATTTTTACCCTCTAATCTTACGTTTCGATCATTTTTCAGTGTCTAAGTAATAGACCCTCTAACTTGGAAGTACAACACCGGGTGGCCAGGGGGAAAGTCGACTTTCAGGGCTCGATGGAGGCGCTGCCCCTAAGAGTAGGGGGCTGGGGCCGCGCCGGGTGGAAAGGGGAAGCCACGGTCAGGGCGGCATCCGCGCGGTGTTAGCTCCTGAGCTCTGCAACTCTCTTCAGGCAGGACAGGGTTAAAAGCCGAGTCTGCCTTTGCCTCTTGGAAAGCTTTGGGTTGCAGCCGCGCCTCCCGAGCATTCTTTAAACCAGAAATGTGGGAGGGACTCGGAGAGGGAGGGATTAGGGCAGGAGGGAGAGAAAGGCGGCTTGAGGAGGGAGCGCGCCAGAGCGAGAGGGACTGAGCGCGAGGAGGAGCAGGAGCGCTCCAGCAGCGGAGGCAATCCCGCGAATTCATTACTGTAAACATCCCCCGGGGGTGTCAGAGGGGTGGGGGTGGGGGCCTTGGCGCCTACATTAGCCTGGCCTCGGCAGACCGAGGCAGCAGTGAGGTCCGAGCAGCCTCCGACCGACCCACGCCGGGTGGGCGCAGCACTTGGAGCGAGCCCCGCGCGCGCGCCCCTGCGCAGCGCCCCGCGCCGGGACCCGCGCAGTCGGTTGGCTCCCAGGCTTCGGAGGCGCTCCCGCCGGGCTCTCCAGCCGCCCCCCACCCGGGGTCCTCCGTGTCCGAGGAGCCTGGGCGCTGCGGGGCCGCTCTCCGCCGCCTTCCCTTTTCGCCCTCCTTTCGGGACTGGTTGGCTGGGCTGAGGCGGAGAGGGGGAGGTGGAGAAGAGGCTGAGGTTGCGGCGACTGGAGCTAAGAGAAAGTGGCATGCCCGAACCCTGGAGGCGGAGGTGCTGGAGGACGGGGGAAGACAATGCCGCGGCTCGGTAGGGGAGAAAGGCGAGAGCGAGCCAGGCGAGCCGGGCGCCCGGGCGCTGGCCGGCTGCAGGGAGGCGCGCGCCGCTCTGAGGCTCTGGTCTCCGCACCCCCGCGCCCCGACGCAGCGGGCGACAGGGCCCGGCTTCAGCAGCCGTCGCTGCCGCCGCCACCCGGAGGACCCAGCAAAAGTTTGGATCTGTGGGAGGACGCGGCGCTGAGCGGCTTTACCAACCAGGACTGGAAGGAAACCTAGAGAACCTTCGCAGGTAATGCGCACCCCGAACCCTCTCTGCCCCCCTGCTGGTCTCCTGCTCCCTCCCGGTGCCTTTTCCTCAGCCGGTCAGATCTGGCTGAAAGTAAGCGGTCCTGGAGAAGTTCAAGCTCCCAGGGATGGGCACCTAGACCTGGAAGATCCACTACGCTATGTGCGGGGGGGCCCCCTGGCGCTGCCCCCCCTCGGGTAGGCAGCCGTGTGGAGAGGCGACTCTCCGCCGGGAATGGAGGAGAACCCTTGGCCCCAGCTGGTGCCTCATCCTGTAGCTCTTTGGAAATTTAGAATATGGATTGAGAGGTTCTTAATATTCCTCCATCCAGGGAAATGATGCATGGATTTCACTCGCTCCCACCCGCACCCTCTCACTTTCTTACCCTTATTTAGCATCTTTAAAACATGGTGTGCGCCCACTCCCATTACGTTAAGCTGATCCAGGAAAGCAAATCTCTGTGTGTGTGTGTGTATGCGCGCGTGCGCGCGTGTGTAAATTTCAAGCAGAATTACCCTTCTCCCCCTTTGACATCCCCTGAACCTTCCCTCCTTCCCTCCCTCTATTCACCTTCTGGCTTCATAAAATAGGAACTTTAGAAGTCGCAATTTGATTGAAGGATGAGATGAAAATCTTAACCATTGGTGACATGAATTTGCACGACTGTCGTGTGTGTGTGTGTGTGTGTGTGTGTGTGTGTGTGTGTTAGGGTGGGGGGTTTAGTGCTGTTGTGGAGAGGGTGGTTTTTCTTAGGTGTCCTGATGCACCATGGTTCCTGGGTGTGGGGGCTCGGTGTGTGCAGAATCAGAGACCTGGGCAGGGGAGAGAGGATGGTCACGTTTCTGGAACAGCAGCCTCACTTAAGCTAACTAAGAAAATAGCTTCTGCTTTTCACTCCTGAGCAAAAAGATTCCAACCCCAACTCGCCACCATCCACTCTCCCCCAGTGGAATTTGAGTTTTGAAGCAGCTCAACCTTTGCTGCTGCTATCATCTTTATTATCATTATTTATTCACCTGAAAACTCATCTTGCCTTCTCTTGTAAATGGAAATCAGTCACCAAAAGCTTTTGATTGATTTTAGTGGAGGGAATCTTGTAAAGCTTACAGTAAGCTAATCAAGTGCAAGGCACAAATCTGTGTAAATGCTAGCGCTGGAGTGCAAGGTGCTGATTAGATTTCTTTACATGCTGCATTTGCTATGCAAAGCTTCTTCCAAATGGGAGCTTTTGCTCCCCACTCAGCTGGGAGGCTCTTTAATCACACAAGGTTTCAGGGAGCTTTGGGGCATGTCCACTCACTCACAGGCTTATTGCTAAATTTATTATGTCTAACTTCTTCCCACCAAAAGCTAATATGAAAGCGAGCTGCCATATCGGGACCGATATTGTCTGTGGACTTAAGCAGTAGGATCTTATTAAATCTCCAATGAAAGGATCCCATAAACATTTTGAGGCAAAAAGAATGCAGGTTGGCATTTGTCCAGGGATATATTTTTGGTTGTTGCAGTATGAATTCAAATTTTAGTTCAGTATCAAAAGTGTTAGAAC